GTATATATAATTTTATCATATGTATTTTTTTTCATCTTTGTACATAATTGTATTTAAATAAAATCATTTACATTATGTATATGTCCATAAAACTATCATACGTTATATTTCAAATTTGCGAAAAAACATTCACTATTGAATGTTAACAGAATTTATAAAAAGAGAAAATAATTATTTTATTTATGTACTGCTTATGAGACATTATTAAATCTAAGATCACTTTTTCGAATTAATTTTTTGAAAATTAAATTAAATTAACATATTCATCCTATTACAAAATTTGATAGCCAACATGTCAAATATTTTATTAATAAAATCATTAAATATAACATAATCTATATACATATATATAATTGCTGGCATGTAGCATTTAATAAAACATTTAATAAAACCTCTAAATTTTTCCCTCTATTTTCGGTAACAAAATTTGTCATTAATATTTTTTACTTCTCACATTAATACATCTTAATGAGTGTAATCATGCATGTTTCTATTATATTATATAATAATTATTGCTAATACCAACTAATAATAATTCACAATAAATATAAATACATAATTATAAACAATTGTTTCAAGTTATGTATTTGAACATCAATATTATCTTTTTCTTTTGTATCTCATAATTTTTTTTTTAAAAAAAAAACAATTAGTAAATTGTTTTAATAGCATAGTTAAACAACTTTAGAATCTTATAAATAATTGTTTTTTAATAATATATATATATATATATATAATTGCTAGCTTAACATTTAATTTTACCTATTTAATAACACTTCTAAAATTTTTCAACTGTTTTCAATTACAAAATTTATCATTAATATTTTTTTACTTCTCACATTAACACATCCTATTAAGTGTAATCATGTATTTTTATATTATATTATATAATAGTTAATGCTAATACCAACTAATAATAATTTACAATATATATAAATTACATAATTATAACCAATTGTTTCAAGTTATTTATATTAACATCAATATTTTCTTTTTCTTTTGTATCTCATGAAAGAATTTCTTTAAAAATAGTTATTAAATTGTTTTAATAACATAGTCAAACAACTTTAGAAGCTTATAAACAATTTTTTTTAATAATAATATTATCTAATGATAATGAATAATTTTTCATAATAATAAAATCGCTAATTTATTTTTCCTAATAATCAAATTTTGAGAATCTTAATATTAAATTCTCAAATATTACTTACTAATATTTTATGTACATCTGTGCATATGCACATGATATCTACTAGTAAAATTTAAATACGGAATGTTTGGAAATCGACCTTTATGAAGTAAGTCTTTCACAAAACTTGGAGAGAATCTATTAATATATAATAAGGATTAACATAATTCACTTTTAGAAATAATTTTCCACCAATTTCATTAATTATTATCTAAAAATAGTAAATTAACAAAAATCAATGTAATTAA